AGAAGAACTCTACATCTTGACTGAATATGTAATGAAAGTTTACGCTCCCGTCTGGTTTAATATTAAGCTCAAACCGTCTTGCGTTCATGGTTCTTAGCATCTATGGAGACTGATCAAATTGTCGCGATACCTTCCACGGCATCTTTTGGATATTATTGACCCAGTGATCCAGAGGAATGGCTATTTTGCTGCTCCTGAAAATCTTCTTTTTGGGCTGCTTACAGATAAACGCAAAAATATTCGAGAATTGGCACTTCGACGAATCTTGAAGGCAAGAACCATTCACAATGAAGGCATTAGGAAGTTTAAAATTCCTGTAATCAACTTCAACGCTAATGACTACGTCGATCTAATTTCATGGCATAATTATGAAATCACTGAGCCTCCGATGATACAACAATTTGAAGAAGATGAACTACGACATCTGGTAGAAATAACTTCAAAAAACTGTACGGAAAAAGATCTGCCAATCAAGTTTTCACAGTTTCCTTGTCATACACAAGCGGTAGAGAGGATGGTGAAACGCGTAACTGAAGCTTCATCTGCTGTCTGTGGAGAAACTGCAAGGGATGGATTCATAATGGCTAAGATCGAATCGCAAAAATTGATGTCTTCTTTTGAAACGAAGAAACAGTTTAAATTAAAGACATATCAATAAAAAATTTCATGTTTAATGATCTAATTACATCTAACATTTTCATTAAAATCAATTTTTTCATTATTATTTTGTGAATGAGAAAATAAAGAAATCTTTTGAAATGATACTTTTTATTAGCTACTGCCAATCCTTCTCATCTAAGATTATCGTTAAAATGTATTAAGAAAAATTATCTGGTGGAAACAAATGGCAAATTACTGTAAATTACTGAAAAAATCACGAAAACCGCACACAATCAGTTAATATTAATTTTTGAAAGGCTTGCGGCACCTCAAAAAATTTGTTGATCACGTTCAAACTTTGGCAGCTTAAATATCATTATAAAAGACAACTTTTGCCCACTATTAGAAGCCATGAACAATAAAAAAATATTTTGCCCCTATATTTCGTTCCACCCTAGTGTCCAGTCATCGCCTGCTGAGAATGTTCGAGCTGTAAATGTTCGAGCTCGTCGTGAATGTTTCGTTGCGTGGAGCGATAGTCGCATTACGTTGTTACATGTCAAACGGAACACTTCTGTGCAGACATATTTGCATTTATATAAATTTCTATCTTGTTCGTTAATTGTGTCTAAGTTTATCATTTCGTATCCTGACCTCATCAACATACATTCAGTATTATAGGAATTGTGCCTCTTTGAAAATTGGGCCATTTTTATGGGGATCTTCTCACGATATGGGGTCAAGGAACAACTTTTTCAATATTATTAGAATTTCTACATATTCTTCACTAAGATACGCGTTATTTGCTTTTTGAAACATTAAAATCCTTTAATCCGTTCAAAAATTATGACGTTTTAAAGATACACACGAAATTTTAGAGTGACATTTCTCGCCTGAAATTACATTTTCGGATAAGAATTGTTTTCTCAAAAATGATTACGAATTCGAGGATATGTCTATTCACCAAAAATAATTGTAATTGGCGCCCGCAACCATAAATAATTTTTCCAGAACAATTTGAAATTTTTTTCCCCGAAGAATGACCCCCTGTCGATTTCTCTGAAAAAGTCGTTTTTCATTTTTAATAAATTTGTTTGACGTCCTACGCAAATTTTGTTTAGTACTTTTTTGTAGCTATCCATGAGGTTTACTTCCAGATTAAATTTTATTGAGATACTTTCACTATTGTAGACATTATGGACGTTTGAAAATTGGACCATATTTATGGGGTTTTTCTCATGTTACGGTGTTAAGGAACAACTTTTCGAATATTCTTGGAATTTCTACACATTCTTCACTAAAATATGCGTTGTTTGCATTTTGAAACATTAAAATTCTCCAATCGGTTCAGGAGTTATGACGTTTTAAAGATACGCTTGAAATTTCAGGGAAGCATTTCTGGTCTCACATTAGATTTTCGGTAAAGAATTCATTTAAATTTCTTTGACACTATACGGCAATATTGCCTAACACTTTTTTGTAGGTATCGATGAGCCCTAGTTCAGAAAACAATTTCATTGAAATATATTCACTATTGTAGGAGTTATGATTGTTTGAAAATTGGACAATGTTTATGAAGTATTTCTCATTTTACGTGGTTAAGCAACAAGTTATCGAACATTCTTGGAATTTGTACATTTTCTGCACCAAATTCCGGGTTGTTTACATGTCGAAACATTAAAATCCTCCAATCCGTTCAGAAGTTATGATAGTTTAAACATGTACATGAAATTTCGAAGAAGCATTTGTGGTTAGAAATTATATTTTCGGTAAAGAATTTTTTCTCGAAAGTGCGTAGGATTTCGAGGGCATGTCTATTCACCAAAAATGATTTTAATTGAAACCAGAAACCGAAAATAATTTTTCCGTGAATGATTTGAAATTTTTTAATTTAATTTTTCAATAACTTTTTAACGAAGCCTCAGTCAACAAATTGATATTCTTGATTTTCGTCTTATTTTGATCTCTAAAATCTCCCATTAAAATTTTTCCCGGGGCTGGCCGAACACCCTGTATGACAAAAAATTCATAAGTGATTTGTTAAGAAGTTATGACAAAAATATAAAATGTGCTGTTTTTTCATTTACTAAACAAACAAATTTCCTAAAATTTTGTTTAAATAGAACAACTGCTAGTTGAGGCACGAAAAAATAGTTTTTACGTAGAATTATGTGGTTAACTTAAACATTTCTTTATCAGAGTTGAGTTTCTATCATTTTCCTTAAATGCTGAAATATTCTTTCTTCGATGATAATTTTTTGTTGCCATGAAATTTTGAACTATTGTTGAAGTTTATGTTAAGTAAATTGCAAAGAAACTCACGATATCGAATTCTTGCAAAAATTCATTTTATTTTATTATACATTTTTTTTCTCATTTTAATGTCCTGAATCTCAATCGAGTTTCACAGTTTATATTTTTGCAATAACTTCTTAACAAAGCATTTATGGATTTTTTGTTATGTAACATTTTAGTCTTGGTTTTACTTTTAAAACACACTGCTGAAGCGTGTACGGAAAAATGCGGAACACCCTGTATAGTACTGTGTATATCATTTGAAAGTAGTTATACATAGATCTAAGATGTGGATTACATTTGTTGTTTGATGCATATTATAAATTCAGATTATTTAAAATTAGAAATTACTAATTTCGTTATCCTTTGTGAAAATTCTTTCGAGCCATCTGGTTACTTATAGAATGTAGCACAACCACTTTCTTTTCCATTTTCGTCAATCACTTATCGCTTTATTTTATTTTTGATCTGAACCAGTTTGGAGTCCGTGCAAACCATGACATTTAAACTTGATTGGTCACCCGGATCGGCTAGTTATTTATTGACCAATGTGACAGGAATAGAAACATTTACTTTGGTCTTGAACCGTGAAACATTAACAGCAGTAAAAAAAAATCCTATCTATTTAGTATACTGGTCACTCAGTTATAAAAGCCGCTGTCAATTACATTTCTACATGTACACCGCCGCCTCGAACAGGATTTTCCTTTCATGGAAACGCATGTACGACCGATACGCGATTTTTCATTTTTAATAAAACCTTACACCACGTGTTTAACCGTCAAAACAAGGATTTATCGGTCGTGCTACATTTTCACGATCGTTACCACAAAAATCTCGAAATTGTTCCATACCATCAAGCATTTATATCGTTGTGTCGCTTTCGAATTTTTATCGTAAATGTCTCGACGAAAATTGTTGCGTTCCGTGAATGCTTTATGGGCGTTACGCGTTGCAACATCCGGGCAGAAAAGGAAACACGGAATTCCGTCATAGTCAAGGCAGACATCGCGCAAAACAATTTAACACTGTTTCGTATCACTTTTCAACACTTTCCTGTTTTCATCCTCATCTTTCTTGCCGTTTGTTTCGTTTCGTTCAATCTGTAAGTTTAACGAGTTTCTGTCACGCCATGAGCAAACTTTGCCGCGCTTAAAACCCAGTCGACGTATCAATTAATCCAGAAATAAATGTTTCCACACCGTTCGTGGTAATTAAAGACGGTAATAATTCATGTACAGAAAGAAAATTAAGATACGTGCGGGTCAGTGTCGTTGCGTTTATTATTAATTTTCGTCGTTCCGGCGTTATCAATTATGTTGGCTGGAAATAAAACGGCACGCACGTGGACTTCGGCTCGCCCTTCAACGGTTATCGCAAAGGGTCTAGGCTGCGTTTAAAGCGAAACAACTACGTCAGGGTGAAACAATTAGGGATCACCGCATTAGCGTTACTCGACGAGGAGAACACAGCAACAAACTAAAGGAAACAATTACATTTGAGAGCGCATGATTAAAATGTTCACCGTATTCTCGCGACTTAATATCATTCGGTTTCTTTTCTTTTGCGATCCAATTTAGAATATCTAATTTTTGAAACGTGATTATCATCGGTATACGGAGAAGAATGTACCGTCGACTAAATATACAGGGTAAAGCACTTTAGATATCTGTAACAGCATAATTCTGGCGATAGAAGTCTTTCGTTCCATTCCTAACTTGAATATTTATCGCGCGTTTGATTGGACGAAGAAACGACGAAAGTTGAAACGTAGAATTTTTGCAAAGAAAACACAACAGATATTATTATTTCAGAGTATGTTTATTGGAATTAATGAACGACTGGAAATTGGTATGTTAATAATGTTGCTCACTGTTTAAATTTGTTCGACTTGTCAAAATAAGTATTTTAAGCGTCGTAATCTGTTATACGTTCACTGGGCAAGCTAAAATATTTTTACCGATGCCACGATTGACGTCGTTCCAAAGGTAGAAAACGGATGAAACAAACAAATTATTAAAGTACGCAAGTACGTAAAAAACAAGGGCTAAAAAAATAAAAAATATAAATTTTTTCTTTCGAGGGAGGATTTAGTTTCTACGTACCGCTTGCAATCGTTTCGTTCCAAGGCCTCGTCCAATAAGTTACTGGTCCTGGAAAAGCCTCGCTGCAACACTCCAATACAAGTGTTTGACCCTCGTAAGCACCAACTAACTGGTTTTCAATCCAAACCATCGGTTGAACTGCGAAAAGAAATACCAATATTATTACATGTGCCACCATCCCTGGGGAAAATTTTAATGGGAGATTCTACAGGCCAAAATAAGACGAAAATCAAGAATATCAATTTCTTGACTGAGGCTTCGTTAAAAAGTTATTAAAAAATTAAATTAAGAAATTACAAATCATTCTGAAAAAATTACTTTTGGTTGCAGGGGTCGATTACAATTATTTTTGGTCATTATACATACCTCCGAAATCCTATGTATTTTCTAGAAAAAAATTCAGTACGGGCGAAACTTTAAATGTTAATAACTTATTAATGAAGCCTCCACCAACAAATTAGTATTCTTGATTTTCGTCTTATTTTGGCCTGTAGAATCTCCCATTAAAATTCTTCCCAGGTATGGCCGAACACCCTGCATATTATTTTAGTTCTACGTAGATGCACCTAAGAATCACAATGGAACAATATTTGTATTAATAGGGAGGATCTTGAGTTCCTATAGTCTCATCTTATATCCGCCATTACTTAAAAACAGACGATGATTTTGACAATAGAAGTTGTAACTACCCTATAAAAACAAAAATTAGAAACCGATTTCCACCCTCTATTGTACGGTATACAAACAGAAATGTATATCGATATGTCAACAGCTAAAATGAGCAATGTGATTCATATTGATGTAAAAAAATGGTTTCCAAGATCGAGTAGATTACGAAATGACGTTCAATTTCAGCACAAAGTTGGGATTTCGAGAACCGTTATTTTAATCAATCCGTGACAGTGTCGACAGGTCGGTTCGTGACAGCAGAGCTTCGCCACGGGCAGAAAATATTTAAGGCACCACTTCCGTCCCGGAAACAATGGTCCTCTGCCATCTGCCATTCACGATGTCCCAAGTGGCGTCGTTATATGCTATGCTTTCGCGACATATTCACGGCCACCTTGCGAAACCTCAAATTGTATTTTCGAGCATGCGTGTCTAATACCCTCTCCCCCGCCCCTCTCCAACAGTCGTTCTTCACCATCCAACATCGTTAGTGCTCGTAACAAGATAGATTTATGACACGGTCATGAATTGCTCGCCATTTTTCTCTCGAAAGATTTCGGTTCATAACGTACGGCCGACCCGCAAAAATAGAGCTGTTTATTATTCATAATTTTTTAAATTTAGTTCCGTTCTATAATGCGAACCTAGGAGTTTTTAGAAAATTAAATTTTTAAATAAAAGTTCACATTCGTGGTTTTCTAAACCTAGTTAAACCAGAATAATTCTTTTCTATGGAATACAATCAGGCTGTAGTGCCTCGGTTGTGCTTCAGAGCGGATCAATTTAAAATCCAATTAGTAAGTAATTAGGTTCGAAGGTACTTGTGTGTACTTCCTCTTTATCGGACGCGACTTTAATAAGAGACGTTTCACCGGACAATTGTATGAAGAAGGGTATGATTTAGGCTACTTACAGTGAACAACGAGGACGATCCTCTTGCTGACTGTCGGCGGGACTCCATTTGTAGCTATGCAGAGATAAGCTCCCATGTGAAGACGCGTCACCCGCGTTATTTCCAGCTTCGAACCCTCGATACTTTCCACTAAAACCAAACACAAAATTGTACAGAAATAAACATTCATTTTATTCGTCGCGTTACTGGGGGTGCAAAGGTGAAAAGAATTATAAAAGGATTGGTAGAACTCATTGTTTTCCTGTACTGTTGACCTATCAGAATCATAACATATTTTAATAAGCCAAAAATTTTTTATCAGTAGAAGTATCAGATAAAAAACTTTCACAAAAAACAAACATAAAATTGTACAGAAATAAAAATAGAGATAAATAAGTTTATTCATCGCGTTAATGGGGGTGTAAAGCTGAAAAGAATTTTAAAAGGATTGGTAGAACTCATTGTACCGTCTCTATACTTCATTTTCTGTACTGCTGACTCATCGGAATCATAACATATTTTAATAAGCCAAAAGATTGATTCTTTACCAGTACAAGTGTCAGATGAAAGACTTTCTAGGTTTTGATCTGGAAAGAGCAGAACGTTCAAGAATAATTTAGTAAAAGAGTCACTCTGGAGAATCTAAAAAATTCACAATGTCAGGACTCGTACGTTCCTGAACTAACAGCTATGTTTCGACTGCACACACGAGATCCAACATTCATAAGTTTCCGAATTGCACACATAGGGTCAAACTGGTGAACAGCAGTCAAAGGAAGGCTCGAAAACGACATAAGGCACAATCACGCTAAAACTGAAAATATTAGGTCAATGATTTCTCAAGGTTGATTGAACCGAAAGCAATGTTGCGCTGCTTTTAGTATCCATTTCGATGTCTGGTTTCGATATTTGTTCAGCGAGATGGAACATGCGTAGGTTCACGTGAGAGAGCACCGTTGACGAGAAAGGATGCAAATTGGATAACGATTTTATGAAATGTAGGGGTTCCGCAAAGAATACTGTGTTAACCTGCTATGAAATTGCCTATCTCGTACACTCCTCTTTGTAAATGCGAAAATAAATTTTCTTTTTAAACAGTGAAAGTAAATCTCACCGAATATTAATATGGAGGGATTTTTATTGTGGCTTGTCCAGTTCAGTAGAAACTAATTTCAATACTTTAATAGAATAACGGAAGATGAACATTTTTTTATTCTTTTTGTATTATATTCGTGGCAGTCTATTATAATTTTATTTTCTATATTAGGTAATGTTTACTATTTCTACTATCGTTGCATAAAATAAACATCTGTGACGTGAAAAGACGTTCAAGATAGAGTAATAGAAATCGTGTATGTATTACATTACATCGTTACGTAAGCTTTAACTATAAAGTTTGGTCGCTATATTTTCGTGAAAAGTAAAGTTGGTTTATTTTTTAATAATTATGCTGCAACTATATTATCTATTGGTAAACATTCAAACCGCCAGGAGTCGTTTGAGAGAGGGATATGCTGAACACAAATAGTACAGCCTCGCAGGCAAAAACGGTAAACGCGGCCGAGAGATCTAATTAGACTACCCGAAGGAACAGGTAAATAGTGTAACCAACTCTAAGCGTTTATGCTGCTACATCATTATAACGAGACGGTGTGTAAGAAGACGTCCATTGTGGATTGAGATTTTCCACACTGTTGGAAGCAAAATGGAGAGAACTGGAGTTGATTCTAACTTAATTGGCCGTTCAAGACCAGTTGGACCATCGGGGAATCATGTTGGACAGGAATTTCGTTTCTGTGTCTAAAGATATGCTCTTCCTAAATCTTACCAGTAAGATTAGATATGGTAACAAGTACATATGTACGTTTGTTGGGCTAAGCGAAAATTATACGATATAGTGTACAGTTTAACTAAGACCTCGAATATGTCTATAGATTTACTTGAAAGTGTGTACGTTCGCTAAGATTACGTTTATACTGTAGCGTTTGCGTTACAGTAGTCCCTCGATTATCCTACTGAATAGGGGTTGTGTAGTCGTGGGCGTTGGAAACTTTTTTCAAATATATTAATTGAAATTTAAAAAATTAGACAAAGCCATACATCTAAGTGAAATCAATTACGACAATTTAACCACACGTTCAAAATTGTTTACTTTCTCCGTTACAATTTTATCTTACAGAAAGCGCTGTAAATTTTGTTGTTGCTCGAACGAACAACGAGCGAAGCTATTTTTAAACAATTTTTGCATTTTCATCGCCGCGTATTCACCGTTGGACAAATACGAATGCCCAATTTTATTCTAACGCGCATCAATGCCGCTTCATCGACAATACAATTAATTAGGTAAATTTCATTACATTTCAACGCCGTGAACACACTTCACAATTTCGCAGCGGAGTTTAATCAATAACTATGGTTCAGTGTACCTCGATTAATTGTCTTGGACTTCGAAATTGTTTCGAACAGCTATACTATGTACCGATTTAACTAGATCCGTCGAAAATTCCCGAAATTAAAATACATATACTACTATGCGCTCGAAGTGTTCCGTTTAAATTGATCGACGCAAATATCCCCGGAACAATTGGCGTTAACTCTGATAATGTTTGCGCAGCCAATTATATAACGAACAAACATATTATTTTCGAAAGAAAACCGTGTTTGTTAATAACAATCAACCAGTAACAGTATTACAAAGGTTAGTATCCACAATTTCAAATATAAATTCTGCGAAGATATTGAAGGTCAAAAGTAAGTACGTCAGAGAAATAATCTGTGTTCAAGAGTTTGTTATTGATATTAGAATGAAAATATTTGTCCAGATATTTGGGAATCATTTTAAAAGATTTATAAAGTAATGTTTAAAAAACAGGGGATGTTAATTTGTAAGTAGTTGATGCATCGTTGGAACAATGAGACTCTTCGTACGAAACTTCAGCTTCATAGAATATTCGATCCTTCTGACTAATGACAAACACATTAGAAAGTACAAACTACTCCTATCCCAGAAATGATCACGCATCAAATGTGGCTCATAGAGTTAATGAATTAATTAATGAAGGCTTCGTATGAAAAGAAATTCTAATTCCTTCGCCAAATGATCTGATTAATTGGAAATAAAGGAAAGAAATTATAGAAATTTCGCTTTATGGAATTTTAATTAGATATTCAATGGAAATTGAATGAAAATTTACTTTGTCCGAATGGAGGAAAGGATATCAAATTTTTTCAGAGATAACAGATTCTGTAAAGTGTAGGAACCAGAATTTCTGATTAAATAATTTCCATCCAGAATATTAATTACGTCCATTCGCTTCGATCGTTCTAAAATATTGATTATTATACCTCTCAAAAGAAAAATTATGTTCCTATAATATTTTACCCCATCGTCAAAATCAAGTTAAATGGGACACTCTGCGTTCTGCGTATTTCAAAATTATCTTAGAATACCGAAATCGTGCCACACAGCGCAATTCTACTAAACGCACGATGGAAAGAGAAGCACCTTTGTAATTAGTCAAAAGAACATTCCTTTCATACGGTTCGTTGCATTCATTCGCCACAAACGAACGGAAAATGCACGTCTTTTTAAACGCTGGTCGAACAGAATGTTCAGCCCGTTGAAATTTCATTTCACGCGTCGAGCTGTTCACCCTTAGGTAATTACGAAAGCATTGTCTCGAACTGTTCTGAAATTACTGACAGGAATCCTCAACAAGGAAGACTTTGTTCTTCATTTTTCTCTATCAGAGCTTTCTCATACGCCAGCTGCAATATGACGAAACCCAGGAACGGACAAGAGAGGAGAAAACGGTGTACAAGACCGACGGAATATTTTATTTTTCACCCTACTTATCGCCTAATGGAATCGCGATCGAACGTTCTACGGAAACGACGGCTGAAGAACAGGAAGCGAATGAGGAGAATAAAAGAAGTAACGACAAATGCTTAAAACGATTCCTCAAAACCGAGCACGGACGATAAAAGATTCATCCGGTGAATAAATCACCGGAAATTCATTCGTATCTTTCGTCTGTCGCGGGAAATCCTTTCGTCTTGCTTTTACATTCCTCGTAGCAACGACGAAGGACGAAAATACTCCAACGTGAGATTCGATAACCCCGTTACAACGTCTTTCCGAATATCTGAAGGTTTTGCACATTCAATTTACGGTATTTTCGAAGTATTCGATTAGACCTGGTTAAAGATGCTATTCGACAATTAAATATCAGAGACCGTTCGAGAAATGTAAAGTAAATATACAGTTCCGCGCGAACGTAACCACAGACTATAATTTCTAAAATTTGATCTCTTCTATTTTATTTGTAGATTTGGAAATGGATCTCGTGGGAGCATTAGTCTAGTTTAGTCTCTAATTTGTTTATTTTCAATGAGTTAAATTTACGTCGAATCGACTGCGATAAAGTAAATGCGTGCCATTTTGGTAAATTTATTTTAATTCATTGCAAATTAGAGAAACGAGAAATAGTTTCGAAACGGATCCGCGTCGAACGCTCGAAAGTCGAAAAAGACGCAGCATAGTTTAGGCTGTCAAGACTCGCGTTCAAAAACGTAGTGAGTTCTCAGCGAAAACAAAACTTTGTAAAAGTTTTCGCGCTGTCAACATTGTTAAGGCTTCCACAACTTTCGAATCTTGCGCAATCAGCAGAGATCTTCGGATATCCGAGTCTTTCGAAACCTGATACGATTTCCAGAACCTTAAAGAATTTCATGACTTTATACGTCTTCGGAGCCATCAAAATTTTCAAGGCTTCCGGAGGTTTCATCGTCTTTAAAAGCTTCGAATGTTTGAAGACAGTCAAGCAATTTAAAGATTTTAAGACTTCCGTAACTTCTTCGGAGCTCTTATAAATTTTTAGAGTTGCAAGAATAGGTATTTGATATATTCGAAACCATTAAAGATTTTTACGATCGGTAAACATTGCTTGAAGTTTGATCTTGCAATTTTTTGGAGTCGTCAATCTTTCAACTTATACACACAGATTCAAAAGTATCAGACACTATATCCGTACAACTTCAACGGTTCAGGTCCCATGTCTGGTCCTAATTCATGTGACCGTTTAAAACCTTGATGAGGTTAATAATTTTTGATTCTAGAAGTTGAATGAAACTTTGACCAGTATCGATAC